TCTTCTCGAGCGACCTCTTGATGGACGGTCATAGTGGGTGGAGGAATTCTGGCAAGTCGCAAGGCCTTCACAGCGCCTCTCACTGCTTCTTCAGCTGCAACCTCTCTCAAGGCATCTTGGAACGAAACATCTTCCTTGGCAAAGATCTTCTGCTGCAGCTCACGACTCCTTAGGCTACAAACAAAATGATCCCGCAGTCTCTCTTCCAGGTCCTTGAATTCACAAGGCCTCGCTGCTTGCCTTAAGGCAGCAATAAAGTCTGCAGCAGACTCACCAGGCCTCTGGTCCCTCTGCTCGAATGCGTGTCGCCAAGCAATCACAGAAAGTTTAGGGTGGAAATGTTCTTTCAGCATCTTCTTCAAGTCTGCATAAGACACTGACTCCAAAAGCGCTGGGACCACCAGATTCTCTGCTATGTCAAATGTTTCCTGTCCACAGACACACAACAGGGTAGCCGCTTTAAGGCCGTCTTCCCTTATCTGATTGACCCTGAAATAATTTTCCACCCACGCCACGTACGAATTCCAGCGCTCTGGGTGTGCAATATCAAAATCTGACAAGCAGCCAATCTTAGACATCTTCTGTAACCCTTGTTAACGCCTTTGCTGGAAGCCTGTTATCTGGGGAAGGGGTCCCTTGGCTGAGCTCACCTCCAGCGATGCTGTACTGGCAGGCAGAGTCGCTGTGCTGGATGCCGAACTTCCCAGGACTTCTTGGTAAATCCTCTCTTCTTTCATTGTTAAATGTTGCTTACAGCGATCCCACCTTCGTCGCCACTGTTAGATTCGCAGGTTGGAGGCATTAAGAGGAGACGCATAGTGTAACAACAAGTCTTCTTCCACAACCAGCAACAGCAAAAACGGTGCGCAGGCCTTTTATAGTGTCCTAGCCCCGGACAACGTCAGCCAATGAAAACCAGGCTGTTTTTGCGCCTTGTGCATGCGCGCAAAGCTGGAGACAGCCAGTCTGGTCCCGGCAGCTTTTGGTCTGCCTGGGACCCTTTGCAACATTTCTGAGCCTGCTGAATGCTCCAGCAGGCTCAGGATATAACAGGGTTAATTTTGCTTCTTGACCAAATTACAAAGAAAAAGTCTTAAGAAAGTATAACAACCTGATTACAGGGACAAATTTCATCTAAAAGTTGAGCACAGCATTTGTAGTTCACTATTTAATTTCATTTTCTTGTCACCAAAGAAATTCAGTTAATAACAATTAAAAGTTCCTTTTTTTTACCATTGTTGGAAGATTTCCCCTGACAAAACTCCCATATTCTCATCCCCATTAGAAAAACATGCAGACACACTTTTTTCTCTGTAAAAGCCATTTTTTCTGAAATCCTGGGCATACCACCAAGAACAATGGGAAAACTCAGATAGCAAAGCCATCAAGAACTGTCTGCCCTGCCCCTGATGGGATTAACTCCCAAAATAGAATCAGGACAAAGGAAACATCCCTGAGGAGAACTACCTGCCCTGCCCCGGACAGAATTAAGCCCCCCAAAGTAGAAACCGGACAAAGGAGATACCACTTAGGACAAAGAAAAGAACATCAAGCAACTATTAAAAACACAAAAGAAAGAGCCATCCCAGCCACAGTCCCAGGGTAGAAAAAGCATATAAAAAGCCACACATGGGACCAGGGGGACACCTTGCAAGGCAGGAACGCTGAAGTCATTTCTCTGTCACTTTATTGCCTTCCTGTAATAAAGACCTGCTTTGTGGTAGCTGCTGTCCTCAAATTTCTTCATCGTCGGCTTTCCCCAGCTGGAAACGAACCAGGAAATTCTTCTGGCACCATAATTATCCAAAATCTTTGCCAGTTTCTGTTTAGGAAAAACAATAGCTTATTTCTTACCCATTCCAAGGTGAACTGAAAACTTTCAAGTATCTCAAGCCTGCAGGATTTTTTTCTTTAAATAAGCTTGTTGCAGTATCCTGAGAAAAAACAAATCAGCTGTTTCTGTGGTATCAGCCATTTTCAGTTGTGCTAGCTTTTCATACTGTTTTTCTGCTTCCATTGTTGCTCACAAGTCTACAAAACCCAGAAATCCTTTTGGGGGTAATAGTTGAACTCAGTTTGCATGTAGACGGTCCCCCTCAGGTCAAAAGGAACCCACTGTGATCATCTTTCTTCCCATAAAAGGTCTCCATTGTATTGTCCACTTCCCTGCATTGTATGGCTACTCTCCTTTAGCCATTCCTGCTGTACAGACAGGGTAAGTAGTCAGTCCCACAACTGGCCTCAGACACTAATTGGCTTCCTGGGATAAACTCTTCCCCTGCACTTTTCCCTTTTCTTGTGTCCTCTCCCAAGGGATTATCAGCTTACTCTCTCCTAGCTCCTCAGTTGTCTGCCTACTCTGAAGATGCATGGATGAATTCACCCTGTGCTGCCAGGCATATTCTGTGACTAAGTAAGGCCAATCTGAGCCCTAAAGGGTCCCACACTGCCACCCAGACAAGCCCTTAAATTTGTTGCCTCTGAACTCAGGCATCCTAGAAAAGTCTGAGTTTGCACATGTTGCTGATAAGAATTTGATCCCTGAATTTGTGAGAGAGATTTTTACCTTTGCAGAGGGGCTTCTTTATCCGCCCCAAAAATACGAATTACCAATTAAGTTAATCAAAAAACAAATCTGCGAACAACTAGAAGCTAACCAAGGCATAACTAGCAGCCAGCACAGGTTTATTAAAAACAGATCATGCCAAACCAATCTGATCTCATTCTTCAATAAAGTAATTAAACTAGTAGACCAATGAAACGCAATGGGCGTAATACACCTAGATTTCAGTAAGGCTTTTGACAAAGGAGACCACAACCTACTCCTTGGTAAGCTAGAAAAAGGTGGAATAGACAACATCACCTCCAGATGGATCTGTAACTGGCTAAAAAACCGTATGGCACTACATCCACATGGAAAGAAGTAAGCAGTGGGGTACCACAAGGATTCGTCTTAGGGCCAGTACTCTTCAATATCTTCATAAATGACTTAGATGAGGGAATTGAAGGGGAACTCATCAAATTCGCAGATGACACCAAACTGTCAGGAGTAGCCAACACCCCAGAAGTCAAACTCAGGATCCAAAAAGATCTTGACAAACTCGAACAATGGGCCCTATCCAACAAAATGAGTTTCAATGTGGAGAAAAGCAAAGTCCTACACTTAGGCAGGAAAAACCAAAGAAACAAATACAGGCGAGACCTGGCTTGGAGGCAGTAACTGTGAGAGGGACCTTGGAGTCCTAGTGGATGATCACTTAACTATGAACCAGCAGTGTGCAGCAGCAATCAAAAAAGCTAATACAATCCTGGGTTATATAAACAGAAGCATAGAATCAAGATCACACAAAATATTAGTACTGCTTTATAAAACCACACCTTGAATACTGCAGCCAATTTTGGTCACCATATCACAAAAAAGATGTTGAGAGTTTTGAAAAAATTCAGAGAAGAGCAACTAAGATGATCAAAGGCCTTGAGACCAAAACATATGAAGAACGGCTGGAGGACTTGGGTTTGGCCAGTCTAAACAAAGGAAGACATAGGGGAGACATAATAGCAGGGTTCCAGTATCTGAGGGGCTGCCACAAGGCAGAGGGGGACAGGTTATTCACCAGAGCACCAAAGGGAAGGACAAGAAACAATGGTTGGAAGCTGATCAAGGAGAGAAGCAACCTGGAATTAAGGAGAAACTTCCTGACAGTGAGGACAATCAACCAATGGATCAGCTTTTCCCAGAAATCATGGGTGCTCCATCACTGGAAGTTTTTAAAAAGAGGCTGGACAATTACCTGACTGAGCTAGTATAGAACTGTGGTGGCGAACCTATGGCACGCGTGCCACAGGTGGCACACAGAGCCCTGTCTGTGGGCACGTGTGCCGTCGCCTTAGTCCTAGGCCTTCAGCTGGGTTTTATAAAACCTTTTCGCTTTAGGCCTCTGCTGCCATGTGCAAAAAAAAAAAAAAAGGTTTAATCACTCAATCAATTTCATCTTCTCGGGGAAAAAAAAATCTTGCAAAGTTGGAATTGATTGGTTGAACTTTTCAGTCCCACTCTGTCTGCCGTTACCACCGCAGCCCCACCCACCCAATGGGCCACGCCCACCCAGCACCCAACAATACATAAGTGGGTTTTGGGTTGCAGTTTGGGCACTTGGTCTCTAAAAGGTTCGCCATCACTGGTATAGAACCTCCTGCTTGAGCAGGGGGCTGGACTAGAAGACCTCCAAGGTCCCTTCCAGCTCTATTCTATTCATAGGCAAAGCAAAAAAACATTCATTAAGGGGGACGGGGTGTCAAGTCTTTTTATAGGGTGCAGAAGCAAGTAATATATTTAGTATACATAATATGTCAGAAAACAAGTGATCATACAATAAAAGACATTAATGACATGTCAGACTTGAATAGGAGAAAACATTGACTCTGGATAACGTTCCATAGGTGGCAAATTTATGGATTATATTACTCTTGTAATGGCTTGTATCTTTCTTAAAATTTAGAAGTACATTCATGGACTTTTGGAATATGCTCTCTATTGTTTAAGGCTGAAATGACAAGTTCTTGCATATCAAAGGAAAAGTCCATGGAGAAAAAATGCTTTTCTGAAGTTAATCTCCAATAGTTAAATTTTGGATCTTTGCTCCCAAAATTCCTCCCTGTTTGAAGATTAGTTGTGGTTTTTGAAACACGCATGTGCGGTAGCGCCGTCGATTTTTTTTTTTTGGCGCTGCATCGCTAGATGGCGTTGTCTATCCACAAGCCTGTCCAGTCAGAACGGTTACGGCTCCGACGTCACTCTCGCAGCACGTCCCACCCTCCTTTTTCTTCCCTGCAGGTAAGGCGGCTGGGCGGTGTCAGTTCTAACTAGGAGAGGAGGAGTCCGCGGGAGGTTTAGCGGTTGCTCGCGGCTCTCGGCCGTGGCTGGGGCTGTTCTCGGAACGGCTGTCATCCGCTCGCCGCTGCTGCTTCGACTTGCTAAGTGAAACGCGAGGCGAGGCGGGTACTTTGGCTTGATAAGCGGAAGGGAGGTAAGAAGAAGGAGAGAAGCCGCGGGCGCTGCCGTCCTTGCTGTCGTCGTCTTCTTGGACTTTCATTGGCTATGAGTCCGGCCCAAAAGCCGCCGCTGTCGCGGTCTTCCCGCAATAGCCGAGCGCCTCCTCAACAGCAGCGCAGGGGACTCTTGACTGAGATTCGGACGCCCCTTCTCACCGAGCCCTTCGAGGCCCGCTATACCCTCAGCCCCGGCCGCGAACTCGGCAGGTAAGGCGGGCAGGGGAAAGACCCGGACGGTGCAGAGGGCGCTATTTTGCCTCCGCTGGTGGTGTGCTAGGTGGTTTGGGTCCTGAAAATAGCATGGAGTACTTAAATGGAAGCGGAGTCTACGCTCGAGATGTAGCAAAAGCGAGAGACCTCGAGAGAGGAACGGGAAAAGATGATGAGGGACAGGTGGTGGAAAGAGCGCGGGGAGCCTTATCAAAGTTTTCTTATTCGGGGAGAAGACCAAAATCTCCCACTGTCAAGGTTGTGCCCGGACCCGATTCACTTTGGACGCAAGATTACTTTTCCTCAAACGTCTAGCAACTCAAACCTCTTTTTTACACAACTTTTCTTCGGCTTTTCCTTACTGTCTCTAATTGTCCTTACTAGAACACCCAAACATAGGTGTTCTTCATCTTGAGAAGTCTGTAAACATGAGCAAGGCTGTCTCCTCTTGGTTATGGAGACAGGTATGTAAAATGCAATGGGGCTTTCACAAATTTGTATATTTCAACGATTGAAAGGTAAAATATTAAGCATTTTTCAAATAGAAAAATGTAACTTGCTACTTTTAGTATCTTTAGTCTTAAATAGAGATAGGTTTTTTCTATGTCTAGCAGGGGTAGGCAACCTTGGCTCTTTTATGACTCGTGGACTTCAACTCCCAGAGTTCCTGAGCCAGCCATGGCTGGCTCAGGAATTCTGGGAATTGAAGTCCACGAGTCATAAAAGAGCCAAGGTTGCCTACCCCTGCTCTAGAGAAAGGCATCTAATATAAAAAGATTGCTTTATATGGCAGGGGTCCCCAACCCCCGGTCCATGGATCAGCCCCGGGCCGCAGCATTCCAGCAACCGGGTCGCACAAACAAAGCCCTATCCATGGGGGGGGGAGCATGTAAAACGACGCCCCCTCTGGTCCGCGGAAAAACCTCCATGGAACCGGTCCCCAGTGCCCAAAAGGTTGGGGACCTCTGTTATATGGTATTATATTTTTCGGTCTTAACTGGATATTTCTTTCAGAGGGATCTCTAAAAGTGTGTGATGTCAGAACCTATAGCAGGCTGATCAGGAACTTTTCTCTCATTTGCTTTAAATAGCCAAGTCTGAGGTTATTCTTTACTGATTCAGACTTTGTTCAGGCCTTCAGAGTTGTTTAGTCATTAATGCCTATGGACCTAAGACTCTTGTAAATTAAAGGGCTAAAGATAGAGACAAGCTTGAGAGGGTTTAATCTGAGTCAAAAGAAATAAATACAGCCAGCATGGTATTTTAAAAAATTATTTTTAGGGATCAAAGTATGGCTTTAGTTTGTTTAAAGATTATGTTTACATATTTCAAAAAAGGATAATGTTTGTATATTAAAGTTACTCATAGACAATATTTTCATACATGTTTTTGTGTATGGGGGTTATTTTTTAATTATATATGTATGTGCTAATATAAACACACATTTCATTTGGTTATCTGATTTGCTAATTGATCGTGCTGTCTATTTTTTGATGTATTAAACCACTAAACAAGTTAAACTGATGATTACTGCTTTATGGAAAATGGCATAAATAAAGCATAAGCATAAATAAAGATAAAATGATTTTTGATACTGGAAATGACATACATCTTACTAAAGCAAATTATAACGATCATGTATTTGAATTTCAAACAAGTCTATAGTCAGTAGACCATATGTTTTCAGTATTGTGTGTAAAGCTAACTTGTAATTCATCAGTTATAATTTATAGCTTGATATCTAATAGTTACCGCATTGTGACAAATCTTAAATGTATGTGTTTTGATGATTTATATCAATTTAGTAGAAATATTTAAATCTAAAATAGTAAATATTTTATTAATTAGTAAGTTGAAAGTATGTTGCTTTTACTTCCTTACAAGTAAATTAAATGGAAGCTCTGTTACATTACTGAAAATTTCAAACACTCTTAATATTGCATAGTAGCATAATAAAGCATCAGTGTGTCAGTTTTCCAGATGGAAGTACAGATAAATAGGGACAATTTTTAAACAATTTTAAAGAGCCACAGCTACTAATATTTGGATTTTAATTGGTTTTTAGCAGGGGAAAATTTCTTTTTGTACAATGTTTTAATATGCTGTGAGCCGCCCTGAGTCCCATGGGGAGAAGGGCGGCATATAAATTTAAATATAAAATAAATAAATATAAATAAAAATGACACATGATTTTACAACTTGAATTTGGCTCACTACTTTTCTGTGGCAAGTAAGAATCTCTTGCCTTGTCACAACCACTTCTAGTGTTTTCTTCTTGGGATGAGAGATTTGATAATGAAATATGGAAAAAACTAAAAAAAGAGAAATTGGAGGCTATCTAAGAAGAACAGAAAACACCAAATAAGGATAAGGGAAGCATAGCTAGAATGTCACAGAAAATATATATTTTAGCCACTACAATCTAAAGTTAAGTCTCCATCCTTGCACATTGTCTGCTCCGCATTCCTTGTTCTTCACTCAAATGATCCTATAACTCCATTTTTTTTTAATTCAGTTTACACCTGCCTGGGAGAGGATAAATGGATGTTTAGATGTGGATTATTGTAATATCTACATGGAATGAATGAGTGAACAAAGGGGCAATTTCTGGGGAAAGAAAGAGAAAGAAAATAAATTAAAGTTCTCACTATTAATATGCAAGCCAGAGTAATTTCCTATAGAAAACATGCAGTCCTCATTAAAAAAAGGATTTTGTTCTCCAGATTCAAAGATAACTTGCCTCGAAATGCGAAGCATATAAATTTAATAAATACATAGATATATGTATTTTAATTATAGATTTGCAAATATCAATTTTGGTTATATGCCTAGGTTAAACAACTATATATCGCACTGTGATAAAGTATAGTGTAGTTGTTAAGTTTAGGTTTCCACCTGCACCTGTAGAAGTTCATTTTAAGTCTGTGTTTCTCTTTCATAGGATTGTTTGGAAAATATGTGTAAGCACTTATCAATTTTTTTTAAAAGTATACCAAATGTTAAATACAATCATTCAAATCGCTTTTTAAAGTTTGTGTTTCTACGGAGCAATTTTGTTTTTGCAAATGAGGACAGTTATCCTTAAATGTATTTAGTTTCAGTTTTTTTATTAGTAGTTAAGCATCTTATAATTCATATCTGATTTACAGAGTTTTAATAAGATACAGCCTGAATGAATACTCCCTTTGAAAATGCAGTAAATTGAGGGTTGTTTAAAAAGAATTTGATATAATAGCAGCAGCTCTATAACAAGTTTTTCATTTATATAATATCAGGATGATCCCAAATCAGTGAAAAATTAAGTGGATGGTTATGTTAAGTACATAGCTAATAACAAAAGTAAAGAAGCCTGTGTGCATTATAAAGAAATTTGGCAGACAAATAATTTAGGGCAAGAAATAAGATAATGAAAGGAAAGTGAGAGTCTGGCATAAATAGATTTTGTTGGAAAACAGGAGATTTACAGCACTGCTTGCAAAATAGTGGTAAAGCTTAAATGTGTGTAAAAAACTAAAATCATCCTCTTATGAATCTGGAATTTTTGGAATGATTTGCCACAAGGCTCCTGGACATATATAAAATTTTTGTTTTACTTGCATGATAGCTAGATTTTTGTGTGTTATCTAAATTAGATAAAATATTATTATGGGTGCATTTAATCCTCTGCAAATAGACTGCCGATTGGTTGGTTGATCGATACATCTATATTTACTTTATTTTATGGTATTTATGAATCCATTATATATGCATACATATAATGTGTTGAAGGAAAAGTCTTCATCAGGGTCCAGTCCAAGCTGGGAATAAACAACATGGCGACTGCTTTAGAAAGAAGGTTGTAGTTTATTGAAGAGGAGAGCCAGACAGAAAGATGGCTCTGGAAGAAAAGAGAGAGAGCACATGTAGTAGGGAGTGGGTTTTTATACCTTCTAGAGCAGTGATGGCGAACCTTTTAGAGTCCGAGTGCCCAAACTGCAACGCAAAACCCACTTATGCATCGTCGGGTGCCGGGTGGGTGTGGCCCATTGGCTGGGTGTGGCCCACTGGGTGGACGTGGCTGTGGTGGTAACGGCAGACTGGGTGGGACTAAAAAGTTCAATCAATCAATTCCAACTTTGCAAGATCTTTTTTTCCCCGCGAGAAGTTGAAATTGACTGATTGATTGAACCTTTTTTTTTTTTGCACACGGCGGCAGAGGCCTAAAACGAAAAGGTTTTATAAAACCCAGCTGAAGGCCTAGGACTGGGCGACGGCGCATGTGCCCACAGAGAGGGCTCTGAGTGCTGCCTCTGGCACCCGTGCCATAGGTTCGCCACCACTGTTCTAGAGCTTTTGTTTGGAGTTGTTCCTGTGGCATGAACTCTGACTTGAGTCTGACTGGGTCTTTCTGGTATTCTGATGATGGGGGTTAATCCTATTATGTCCCAAAGGTCATATCCTGCTTCCCTGGGGCTGTGGCTGATGACTGTTGGATTTTTGGTGTGAGGTATTGTTGATTCTAGGGATCTTTCTTCCTAATCCCAGTTTCCTGACTCCAGTCTTTCTGACAAGATTATCACATCTGCATTTCTACAGACCTGGTTTCTGTCTGGGGCAGAGAGAGGGGGGGGGTTAGTTTCTTGCCTTTAAAATCCTTTGGGGAAATATATTCTGCCTTTTTAATATTTCCCAAAATATTTCTTTCTCTGGAGTCTTCCCACAATCTCCCATTTGTGCCATAAGAGTGTGAGTGACACACTTTTATTGGCACAAGATTAAAAATTGATCTGATCAGGGACACTTGATAAAAAAGCTTTTAAACTGTTAATACAAAAAAGAAGAAGAAAAAGAAGACACTAATAGAGGCAGCAGAAAAAGATCCCTGCAGTGGCTCCCAAAAGGGGAGCTTCCAACCCATAAAGTTCTAAAAGTCAGGTCAAAAGTTCTGTTAGATGAAAAAGAAATTTATAGTGTCCAATATTCTGTGCCAATTCTTTTTAAACGTTGGATGTCACTTT